AATGCATCCCCATAAGTCTTCTGAGCCATGATTTGTTGCTGAGCATCTTTGTGCTTCTGTCCTTCCTTCCAGTCATTATTGAGCCCCTGTGCTGTGAATTCAGCAATGGACAATTTGTGGTGTCTCTCACCTGTAACTCCGCCATCGACAGGCCTGAAAACTGGATAGGGGGCATCTTCTCACCCAGGTACCGTACTTTCTCTTCATCCCTCTCCAACTTTTCCTTATCCAGGTCCTCCTGGGCCCTGGTCAGGAGCAGGATCTGAGCAGAAGATTATATATTATGTGATAACATGACGTCTTCAGTGGATTGTTAAGAATGGTTGTATTGTAAAGATTGTTAGGAGGAAACACTTTTCTTGGGGCAGGCTGGCATGGTGTAGTCATTCACCTTCAGAGAAAGCCTACGGGAGGCTGATATCTTTGACTTTGGCTGTCAAAAAAAATGGTAACTGGTGTTATAACCAAAAAAATATGATTTTGAATTTTAAGTACAAGATTGATTAAGTTTGAAATGGCAGTAACATTGAGGGTAGTTTTTAATAGTGGACAACACTACTAATTTAAGTGATGTGTTGTGGATGGCATTAAATTTACTTGTTCAGTACTTTTTTTGATTGTAAATGTACTGAGTTGGTATTAAAAGTAGTGTAGCATACCTTAGCCTCCCCTTTGGGATGAAGTGGTCGGGGAACACTGCGCGTCTGTTAGGGAAAGAAACTGGTGAGTGACATTCATCTCGTCACGGAAGACAAACCACCCAGGGCCAAGTACTAAATAATAAATCACTAAATTTAAGCACAGTGTGATTGCTTAGAGGGGAACGCTGTAGGCCCATTCCTTCAGGGTTATGTGTTTGATTCTCCCCACCCATATGTGAAGTTTATGTGTTTTTTCCCTTGTTTACATGACTTCCCCTTGACCACCCCCAGCAGTGTATAAGTGTGCAGTTTGGTGAATCAGTATCTTTGAATCTTTGTGTCTGAGCAATTAGCTGGCATCCTGCACTTTGTGATTCATTGAATAAGCTGGAAGAGCAGTCGGAGGCAGCGATGGATTGATGGTTTACCGTTAAACGTGCCCGTGTGAGGCACAAGTATCTCGTCTTTTTTTTCCCCCAGAAATGCAATGTGATTGTTGCATGTTAAGTTGCAAGAAAAGCTGCGATAGATAGATGTGTATAACAGGTTCACAAACAGTCAGCAGTAATGCTTTGGCTACTATTTTGCTGTCCATCAATTGTAGAAATTATACTGCAAAGTATGTCAGGAAAAAGCATTTCAAATTTTTTTTTTACATACTTATTTGCATTTCACTCAAAATGATTTATAGATACTCCGGAAATACAGCTAAATATACTTTATAAACATGTCTCCATGTGGGTTACTTATGTGTTGAAATGTATGAGAATATATGTGAAAAAAAGAATATAATACTTTGCTTATGTTTTAATATGTTGAATACAAACTTACCTCACTGTCACTTCAATTTTGAAGATAAAGACAATGGAACCGACAAGTGAGACAAACGTACACAGCAGAAATAAAGAGGGTTAGGTTAATGCACCCGAGGGTCGTTTGTGTAATTACAGGTCATGAGGGTTGTATTTAAAATATTAGCAAAATGCAGGTGACTTAAAGTGCATTTTAAAGCAGGATCACAACATGATACAAATGCTATTTTCCTATTTATCGAGTTTAAACCTTTTCCAAAGTGCTCAGATTATGTGTGGACACATTTAACAACAGAGGCATTTGTAAAAGCACAAAATCAAACTAATGAAAAGACGCATTGCTCCTGCAGTACCATTTCATCAAATGTGCAAATTAAATGAAGTGGGAAATTATAAATCACTGCTGCACTTGGTAATCATCATAAAATATTATATCATATACGTCACTGCTTGAAAGGTGTACTTACTCAGACATCGTGACACCCTTTGAAAGAAGACAACAGATTAAGTACCAAAGAATACTTAAAATGTACTGTTACAAAAAACTCTGCAATGCAAAATGAACTTTTGCTATTTTTTAAAGCCTTTTACACTGAGATGGTAGGCAACTGAATAATTAGTGGAAAATCCAGGAGAGCCGAACCAGAGAAAGAAAAAATGAATTGTCACCTGTTGATATGAGGGAACAGCACTAATAGCAATAAAGGGGGCTGGGGTACTGTGGGTCCTTAGGGTTGAACACCTATTGGACAGTAAATATAGGACAATAGAAATGGAATGGTATGACCTGTTGGCAACCATCAAACAATACCCAAATGGTGTATCCAGTCGGAGAAACAGTGTCATAAATCATGACACCCGATTTATCGAATCATTGGAAAACTTAATCTTATTAAGCTTGAAGATCATTAAACACAAATGACTGCACGCAAAAGGACACTCAGACTACACTAAAGCATAAAATCAAAATGGGTGGCAAGGATGAAAAGACTTTTTAAATTGCTTGTTTTTTCTGTATGTCATTGTTAGATAATATTGAATATATCATTAAAATTATGATATTGTGACATGTTGAGCAATCAACAGATCATAGATTTACAAATGTATTTTTAATAATAATAATTGGTTAATATTATTCTACTCTTAACTAACTGCTGAACTAATTTGTTTTTCTTCCAAAAAACAAAATCCAAATTCCAAAGAACACAATATGTCTGTGATTTCAATAAAGTATTAATGGCATATTTTAAATGATGCAATGCCCAATTTGCTACTTCCATACAAACAAAGCAATTAATATGAATTTGAAATGCAAAGGCAATACAACTAAATACAAAATCTGACCAATTAAAATGCAGCTTGAAAATAATAGCTCAAAAAATATAAAAAATATAGCAGAAAAAAGCAGAATTCTAAAAGATTGCTTTTTCCAGGCTTATATCTTGGCCCCATTGTTGTTGCATGCTGGCTCACAGCACAAACAGCTCCACTGATACACATTCCAGTTTCCCCATGGAAAGGTCATTTAAAAGAATCCCTGACAAATGTTTTGTCATCACCGTTGTGGCAGACAGCAGCAGATGCTCATGCCATTAGTCGGTAATCCTTACACAGCCATTTGTAACTTGTGGACAATGCATGTTTCCTACAGCTACATCTTTTATGTACTGAGGCCGGACATGCTCCCTGTCTGTGAAAGAGATCAGATCAAAAAAAAAATATATACTGAATCTACGGCAACAAAACAAACAAGCTAAATGTGCATAGTGACACATTTGTAATTGTAAAACCATTGAAAACTATTTTAAAGACGCCAATCTTTAAGTAAAGTATAATGCATTACTAGTCTTACTGGGCAGTGCAGAAAATAGAAAGAATGTGGTTAAAATAACATAATGGTAGTGGATAGATCATATTCCCCATTTGTTTGTTTTTATTGGATATTAAATTGTTTAGGTGGATTTAGCCCCTATCCTGGCCGCTCAGCCTGGCCCGTGACCTTCATGCGGCTTGCTGGCAGCTTGGCACAAAGGGCACAGCTGGCTTCTGAGGATGGCAAAAATTCCTGGTGAGAACAGCCTCACACACTAAATATATACACACCTATTAGTAGGCTATATCTCAGATCATCTAAGGCATTGACATTTAGTCTAGCCATATCTGATTCTGTCAAAAAAAGGCCACTAAACTGTAGTTTTGCTGAGAACAATCTCAGCAAGTAAAGCATTTGAGGTCAATTTTGAAATCAGTAACCAGATATGACACATAATTTACATTTTACTCATTTATCTGATATTTTAATTCAAATCAACTTACAGTATGGGGGAAAGTTCAAATTTATGTGTGTCCCCTGGGATTTAAATTCACAACTTTTTTGTTGTTAGCACAATGCTCTGTTTGTTGAGCTTTAGGAGCAGATATAGTAAGAAGTATTAAAGTTACTTTTTATTTTAAAATACAGATTTTGTTATTAGTTTCATAAACATAAATTTATGAACAAACTAACGTTTTAGAGAAAAACCCATATTAGAGTACAGGGGATCTTAGTCATAGATTATGATTTAGACAATATTCATTTTTAGTACTGAAATCTAGGACAAATAATACACCAAACAAGTTGTATTTGGGCTCAACTATGTGACCTTAAACAATATATTTGAAATCACAGATGTGTATGCGTCATCTAGGGCTGATCTTCACTGTCTGTCACAAGCCCCAATGAATATGTATAATCAAAACGCAGAGTCTCAAGGAAAAAACAAAAACATAACATTCATAGCCCAGCTAACCTATCGGTGTTAATATGAGAGCACGTAGAAAAGCAGAGGTTGTCAAGCAAATTAATATAACCCTCTGTACTCGAAGATTTTTGTTCCATTTCCGCCCTGACCCACTGGTCAAATGTACATACACCCTGGCTCGATCTTTATTACTACTGCTCTGTAAACTGTAGTTATGGTTTGGTACTTGGTTACACGATTTTGCTTACATACTTCCCCTTCCTTCAAATTTTATAGTGCCGTTTTATGCAAAACGTTTTTATTGCATTACATTGTCTGTCCTTCTTTTCGCTGCCCTTTCGACTTTACACAAACTTACATTTCGTTGTACACTTGCTCGGCATGTACATCGGTAACACAAATTTCACAATAAAGATGGATAAATTATTATTATCAATTAATAAATATACATATACAGCATAATTAATCTACAAGGGTGTACAACAATGATGATAATGGCATGACAGCACATAAATATAACACAGAAATTACTTTTTTAACCATAGACTGTATTTTCTGTTGAGATAATTACGATAATGGCACCAGCTACTGGTAGAATGAGAAAAATACATAAATATACACGATACACAAATATACCCAGTATGCATAACATATAAAAGGGGGTATGTCAATAGACTGGCCTGTAACCAAGCTAATTATAAAGATGTATATAAACACACTTAATTTCTCATATATAAAATATATGTGTGTCATTATCATTTATCGTTCCCATTCCCATTCAGACTACAGTAGTCGTTAGCAGGCGGAAGTAGTTTCAATGAACCGGAAGTAATATGTTTGACAGGCTCGAGTAATGCCGTACTAATGATCTCTGACTGGATTATCTTTTCATGTTTAATTGTTTTCTGTTAGGATTCATGCATACGTTTGCAGACCGGTTATAAGCTGTAGTACACAACTGTGATATGGCTGAATACAGTTTAGACAAGAGCGCATAAAAAAACCCCAAGACCCGCGTACGCCCATGTTATGGGAAAGAAAACGAGATCGAGCTGGTGGAGTATCAGTAATGTCAGACTGAAGCGCGGCTTTTGAAGCTGAGCTATTACAAATAACGAAGTCCTCCTAGGTAAGAGTTTTGTGGTAAATCGGTCAGATTCTGGGCTGTGATGAGGCGCATGTTTTGTGATAATCACGCGTGTATTTACCTAGCTACAACATGAAATGCAGCGGCGTTGTTGCTAGCAGGTTAGCTAGCCTGGCTTCTAAATCAGCTTTTCCTAATCCAGTCTACTTGTTTGTAATAGGCAACTAATAGGCTTGGCCTAAATGCGTGCAAGATCGCAAAATCGAGTACATTAAATAGTTTTTGTTCATTTAGAAATCGGAATGTGTAAATACATTTAAAATGACAAATCACGCTGCACATCGCCTACACGATTGGCTTCCTTATACCTTGTGTGACTGTAAGGTGCAGTATCTCACTACAACTGGCAATTTACATCACTGTCATCAGATTTATGACGGGGCTTCTGGTTGTATCAACGTCGAGCTATCCTTGTTGAGTGTGGGGAGAAAGGAATGCAGTTGATTTCTTGAACACAGCGCAGAATTTGAAACATGTAGCACTATGTACACATTTAGCAAATGCAGTGCTTTTTAAAAAATATATTGAATGTTTTACATGAGCTGCCTAACCGCATCTTGCCACGTTTTTCTAAATCTTGGATCTCTGACGACCCGCCCACATGTTTACGGGCCATTATTTAAGCGTTAAGCGACATGCGTTAGTGCTTATGCGGGTTTTGTTACAACAATACCGTTTTCGTGCTCATTTCATTATTTAGGTGTAGGCATGCCTGGGAAGCTGAAGGCCAAAATTGTGGCAGGGCGCCACTTACCTGTCATGGACAGGGCCAGCGATCTGACGGATGCTTTTGTTGAGGTGGGTGCCACTTCAGCTAATTAGTCCTTGACATCATCAAGATAGTTATATTTCTTATTGATGTGTTGGGGAAATGTCATTCACAGGTGAAATTTGGGAATACAACTTTCAAAACTGACGTGTGCCCCAAGTCCCTGAACCCCCAGTGGAACTCTGAGTGGTTTAAATTTGAGGTAATTTTTTTTCAGAGGGTCATAGTACTTTAGGAGGTGCTTATTTGAGCTGTACTTATCAGGTCTCCGCAGTGCACTGACAAAACGGTCTGTTAAAAATGCCACATTACTGGTGCCATTACCTTGGCTGCTATATTTTGTCTACAGTAGTTCTGTTAGGAAGCCTTGTTAACATTCCTCCTCCTCACGAATGATAAAATATGAAACATTCAATGCACGGTAACTTATTCTGCACATATTTCCAGTGTATGATTACTACCTATTTAAAATCGATGAGATAAATTGTTGAAGGTAAGGATTGTTTTCTCATTGAAATTTCAAAATCAGGTGGACGATGAGGATTTGCAGGACGAGCCATTGCAGATTACTGTGTTGGACCATGACACCTACAGTGCCAATGATGCTATAGGCAAGGTCTATATTGACATAGATCCCCTCTTATCATGTGAAGCTGCTACAGTCATCTCTGGCTGGTTTCCCATCTATGACACAATTCATGGTGAGTCCATCTGTGCTTGGTCTGTTTCAGCATCTCACTGATATGCTTTTAACCTGAAGCTCAGGTATGATTTGTCATGTTGCCTGTGGTTATACAGTTTGCATTATGGTCTGGATCTCTTGAAGGTATTCGTGGGGAAATCAATGTTCTTGTGAAGGTGGACCTCTTCAACGATTTAAATCGCTTCAGACAATCTTCCTGTGGAGTTAAATTCTTTTGCAGTAAGTCACAGATTGTGTAATTTTATGGCTTTACGAAAAGACACCCGTTCATGTTCTTTTTATATCAGTGAGAAAATCATGTTGAGATTTTAATCAGGTGTAGCTGGGTCGCCATCACTGCAGTTTTTTATGTTAATGTTATCTCACTAGCTACATCCATCCCGAAGTGTTACCGGGTGGTGATGGTGCATGGGTTTGTGGAGGAGCTGGTGGTGAACGAAGACCCAGAGTACCAGTGGATCGACCGCATTCGGACCCCTCGGGCGTCCAACGAAGCTCGCCAGAGGCTCATCTCACTGATGTCTGGTACGGGAGGCCACTGCCACGTGGCCGGACCTGCCTCCGGGGTGGGATTGCCTCTGCTTCATGAAATTCCATTTTATCTTGGAGACCAGAGGCAGGGTGGCTTTTATCTGCTAGCTCAAAAAAAGTGAAGTTAGCTCAGCCTGAAAAGTAGCAGCACTCTTCAGCACCGCAGAGAGTGGCACAGTCAGTCCTCTGCTTGGGATCCTCCTGCAGCTATGAAACTGGTGGCAGGTTGTAGCTCAGCGAGTCAGGATGCTGTGCTTATGATTCAGATTCCAGAGGTGAGAGAGTGACTTCACCATAGATTTCACCTTTAATGAGCCTCTCAGCCCTCATTTGTTCCTGGGACTGTTTACTCAAATGTGCACGTTGCTTTGGATAAATGTAAGTTGAACGGTCCCCTTTCAGGCGAGCTCCAGCGGAAGATTGGCCTGAAAGTGCTGGAGATGGGAGGCAACGCGGTGCTGGGCTACCTGCAGTGCTTTGACCTGGAGGGGGAGTCTGGCCTGGTTGTGCGAGCCATCGGGACGGCCTGCACACTGGATAAACTAAGTAGCCTCCCTACAGCTGTCCTACCTGCATGCAATTCCCCATCCAGAGAAATGAAAGAGTAAGTATGAGGAGGGGGGACCCAGTGCACCTGCATGACTGAACAGCACTGTATGTCTTGGGTGTGCACATTTAGACATACCACTCCTATTATAGGAACCTCAAAGAAGGCCAGATATTATACATGTATACAGCTTAAACTATACATGTATACAGCCGTTATTTCAGATGTTAGATGGCTCTATCTAATGAGCAGAAATATTACTCAAGTAGTTTTAGTAATACGTCTTTTTTCAGGAGGAATTTGTATCCCAAGATATATTTCCCCCAATTTCCTGATGCCTTCAGTTTCATGAGTTGTACGTAGAAGATGAATCTTTATTTGTTATTATTTGTTTTGTACCACTTGAACATAGCGGTCCCGGACATGCACGTCCTTGCCGCGTCGCGCTCCTCTTGCATGCGTTATTCTTCCCCCGTCATGCTCCTGCATGCAAGGTGAATTCCACATATGGGGAAAAAAAGATTCCATGACAACGGGGAATGCCGGGACACTGCGTAACATCCGGCAAATGAGAGGTGACAGCTCACAGGACTGATTCTGACTTTCTGCCGCTGACTTCATGAAGACGCTTCCTGAAATAAAGAGCTTTAGAAAATACTGACATGATAATGTCAGGGATTACAGTTAATTAGGGTAGGCTTCGCTGTTAATTAGGTAAGCGTCTGATTGGATATCGGGAGGCGGTCTGGACCAGTCCGACATGACGAGCGAACGCACACTTAGGGACTGCAAAGCTAATTAGCATCGGAAGGATTTACTGCATGCCTCTGTGTCTCCAGTTTCTTCTGTGCTGCAACCTCAAAAGAGCCATACGGGATGGGGGGGGACGGGCTGGGGGGGGTCTGACCTGTTCCGGAATGACACCCCACTGCTCGCCGGAGAGCGAGGTATTGGAGTCGTCCTGAGGGACTCATCAGGGCGGGGCACTTCCTGTGTGGTCGATGTCCTGTCTCACTGCAGCAGCCTGCGCACGCTGCTATACTTCCTGCCACAAGCTGCTCCAGATCCAGCTCACTGTGCCCAGGGGGAGGAGCCACGCTGAGTGTTGGGGGGTGGATTTGCAGCTTCCTGAAGGAGACTTTTATTACACAGTTGGGGCGGGGGGCGGCAAGTGGTCAGTTGTAGCACAAAGGGAAGGCCATTTCTCCTATTCCTCTCTTCTCTCTCCTCCCTCCCTCACCCACCTTTCGCTGCAATTTGCTGTCTGTGTCTCTGTTCTTTCTTTCTTCTCCGGCTGCCGACTGTCTCAGGTCCCCGCTGGCCCAGGCACCCAGCCACGGATGCCGCTCGTCGCACAACAGCCCCGTTCACTCTGCCGCCGCCGCCAGCGCGCGACTCTCTCAGGGCTTCTCTGTGTCTGTTCCTACCCTCATCTTCACTGGTATGAGACTGCATAGGCACAGGAGCTTGGGAGAGACGGGCCGTGAACATACGGCTCAGACTGTATTGCCAGGCAGGCAGTGTAGGCAGGTACCCCGCTTCTCCAGACCCCCCCCCCCCCACTGCCCTGCACCTCTCTGCCCATTTGTCTCGCCCACCTTCTTGCCATTGGCTGGGGAGGGCTGTGACATCACCAGCTTGAAAGCCTTCAGCTTCCAAAGCACTCTGGCTGCTTATACGCCATTGTTCCAAAAAAGACCTGTCAAAAAAAATCTTGATTCCAGTGCCATTTTCAATTCCATTTGCAGTCACTGGCATTATTCCTGTTTTTTTTCTGTCTCTTCAGCTCCTTTTTTTTTTTTTTCTTATTTTTTCTTTGTTGCGGTCAAATCATGACAACAAGAAAGAAGATTGATTTAAACTTGTCACCTTTACTCCCCTCCGAATACGTTGCTTTGGTTAGCTGAAACAAATGCTCCGCATCTCATTTCCGGCGTTTCACCGGGTTTTTGTCGTTCTTGCTTTTTTGTCGGCCTTTCATTTGCTTCTTCGCTTTCAGTCCACTGTGTTTTATTTTCATTTCCTTCTTAAATGTGTTTTACTTTTCCCGAGACAACTGTCCATAGACTTAATTTCTTTTCTGACTCCTGGTCATCATCCACGAGGCCCAGACTGTGCACACACCCAACCCTCACTCCTACACACACGCACACACGCTCCTGTCTGCACATGGCTCTTGGGGGGCTCCCTTTCCTCCGGTAGCCTGCGGCCCCCTCCCCTGCAGTGGGCCTGTCCCATGCTGCTGGGTGTCCTGTCCTGGGGGGTTACTGAATGTGTTTCCACCTTCTTCTGGCAGGCCTCCCTTCAGTGAAGACCCCAACCCCAATATTCATTCATCCGGACCCTCCACCCCACTGAAAAACCAAACCTATTCCTTTTCACCCTCCAAGTCCTACAGCCGACAATCTTCCTCTTCTGACACAGATTTGAGTTTGACACCTAAAACTGGTAAGGCCCCCTCCACTGTCCTTGTGTTCCTTTTATTATTATTATTATTTTATTTGGGTATTTCCATTGTTTCCTTTCAATTTTGCTTTCCTTTCAGCTTTTTCCACCTGTACCCTGTTATGTAGTTATTTTCCCCCCATGTCTCCCATATTTAGGTGTTTTTCAGTGTAAATCTTTGCTTCTGATGTTGTAAATACAAAAACATTTCTCAATTTAGAATACAACCACTGAAATACTGCAGCCAATTACCATTGATCTTGTGTAAGGTTTAGCTGGTAATTTAACAGAGGGGGTTAGATGTGCAGCCAGTCTTTAAACTGTGTTTCTGCTTGTCAAATAACTCTGCTGCAATTTTCCATTTGTTTAGTTTCTGGCTATTAATTATTACCTTAGAGTACATTGCTAAGTTTATTGGCTGAACAATTGTAAGAGTGGTTGATGTGATACTGAAGAAAAACAACGTACTGATGTAGGGGTTTGAGCTTTCAGTTCCTTCTCCCCTGAATACTAGGGGATGTTGGGAATATTCCTGAGCTGCACTCTTAAAAGGTGCAGAATCCATTACGCTGTGTTATGAACCTCAGTTAGCTTAAAATAAATAAATAAATAAAAGGTAGCACAGCTAATCTAAACTCCGCTGCCGTGGGTTATTTGTTATTTTGCAGTTTTCTGTTTGTCATGGGATGTTTCAGTTTCGCCAGCTACTTGGGATTGACATGAATTTTAGCCGGTATATACTAGCTTGTCATAAGACTTCTTGAGGTACCTGTGACGTGGTTGGGTGTCTCCTTGAGAGTCAGGGGCGTAGCTAGAAATTCTGGGCCTCCTGACCAAATATCAAAAGTAAATGTTGGGCCCCGGGGGTAGATTTTGGGGCCCCGTACAGTGCTGGGCTTCCTGAATGTGCCAGGGTCTCCATGCCTCTCTGAGAGACGCCTCCAGTTAGGCTGCTTCTGAGTCCCCTTTCTGCCCTAATATTCCTGCATATTCACCCTTCCCTCCATCACACTTTAATTTTACTGCGTGTTAATTTAATTTCCTGTTCTGTATTCACTCTCCTCTTCCTCCCCCCTTTCTTCCCAGTCATGCTCCTTCCAGTTTGCCCGTCATACTCATGATCTTGTGACACTTTCATCTTCTCTCCTCTACACGCTTCTTTGTGGTCCAGCAGCGGGGGCAGCATCATGGCGTGTGGGGCCCAGGGTCTCCCTGTGTCCTAGCTTCCCCGCCCTCTCTTCCGAGCCCCTGTCCATACCAAACACTTTCTACCTCCCCCTGAGGCCCCGGGCCGGCCACGGCTCCGCGACTCCTCCGCCTCCTCCTCCGCCTGTCTCGGCCCAGTCAAACTCCACCATGCTGAGAAAAAGCGTGTCCTTCAGTGAGGACTTGCTACTGGCGGCCTTCGGTAGGACAGATCCACTCACACAGGTTGCACTGCCCCCTCCCCCTAACAGACACCCCCCCCCCTCTCCCAAATCCTTGCAGTCCCAGTACTGGGGTCCCAAACAGACACTAAACTGACTTCTTGCATCACATCATTTTGTCTTCCACCTTTGGATATGTTTGGGTGTGCTTCGTTTGAGCTGCTAACTCACACTCCAAGCCTTACTAACCGTTTTCTTTCGTTATCATTTATATGACTGTGTTTTGCTCCCAGTACTGTGTACTGGCTCAGTATGTCTGTCAATGGAATTGGAAGCCACTTCCATCCCAAAACCACAGTTAAACCTTCCCCGCTTCTGCACGTCTGAGATATTTAATACTGTTAATAGTTAACCCTCATAAGCTCTGGAAATGAGCTTTTCAGCCTGCCTGTAGATTGTGTTTCTCTAACATAGCTTTCTGGACTGCAGAAAAGGTTGCTCCCCATGTTCTCTGTGACAAGCTCGTGTATCTGCCCCCCCCCAATTTGGCACCATTAGCCACCCGTGAGTCTCTGGCTCCCTCATTAGCTCCTGTCAGAGTGGGTGTTTGCTGCCCTCGGGGGTTAAAACTCAGCAGTACAAGCTGAGCCGTTAAGGCCGTACCAGAGGCTGCTGTCTGAGCCAGTGGGAAATAACGAAGTACCACGCTGGAGATCCTATCCGAGCCACTGCTACACAGGAGAGTAGATAAATGTCGGCAAGGTAAGCTGGATTTTATCTCCCAAGCTTCACTCCAGTCCAAAATCACCATCAGACCTGAAATAGGGCTATCAGAGCAATCGGCATAAATGATTCATATGGCTTTAATGAGTCATCCTCCCCCTTTACCTCCAGACCGCAGCTAAGCTCTTGCTTTAAGACGGTTTTTGTTTTGCACGCACCTGATTGATCAGAGGCAGACAGGAGAGGGATGGCTTAGTGTCGTGTCAGTGCTGCTGGCCCCTTGCAGCGCGGGTGCCTGCAGCCGTGACCTGGCCTGTCTGTCTGCCTTGCAGGAATGGGCAGCGGGGGCAGTGCTGGGAAGGACGGCGGCCCGCTGAAAACCCTGCTGAGGCAGCAGACGCAGTCGGCGCTGGAGCAGCGGGTACGAGCCACACGCCGGGAACGTTCACGGCACGCTCTCTCAGCACTCAGTAACACGTTTACACACTCTGCTCATGCCCTGTATCCTCACTGATTTTACTTTGCTACTCTGCTACTCACCGACTATGGTCCCTTAGTCTAATTGTTTACTGCTGGGGTGTGGTCACAGAGGCAGTGGCCCCAGCTGAAAGCTGATTGGCCGACCTGAAGTGCCCCCTCCTATCATTCACTGATTCAAAACATATTATTGGCTAATGATAAGGTTGGCCCCTGTATGAATTCTGGCCCCTCTTATGCCCCCCACCTTGAAAAAAATCCTATAATTGCCCCCAGTGACATGTTTACTCACTCCACTCATATCCTGTATACTCACTGTCTTTACCCTACTTTACTCACTGGCTGTGCTCCGTTGGCCTCTATACACAAACCCACTATGCTCAGTGACATGTTTACTCACTCTGCTCATGCACGGTTTGCTCAATGACTACTCTGCTGCACTCAGTCACTGTGCTCCCTTGGCTGTTTACTCCCTCTATGCTCAGTGACACATTCACTCACTTTGCCGATGCCTTGTATATTTCCTGACTTTACTCTGCCACAGTGCAGTACCCTGTATATTATCTGACTTTACTCTGCCACACTGTCTTGGTCTGGGCGTTCACTCCATTTATGCGCCGTGACTGTTCTACATTGTTGCTGTACTTTGCCAATCTGATGATATCAGTGACTCATTCACACCTACGCTTAGTGACTCATTCACCTACTCTCCCCTTGCACTCTCTGCTCACTCAACTTACCCTCTTCTACACTTCCCACTCTCCCCTGCTAGGTCTCCTCACTTCCTCAATCTCCCACTAACTTCCTCACTCACTTCCCTACTCCTTCACTGACTCTCTCACTCATTTCCTGACTTCCTCACTGGTTCACTTCACTTGCTTCCTTACTGACTCGCTTCCTCACTCGCTTCCACACTGACTCACTTCTTTACTCATTCTATCACTAACTTACTTCCTCAGTCCTTCACTAACTCATTTCCTCACTCATTTCCTCACTGACTCACTTCCTAGCTCCGTCACTGACTCACTTCCTCACTCCATCACTGACTGAATCACTTCCTCACTCACTGACTCACTCACTTATTACCTGACTTCCTCACTGACTCACTTCCTTGCTCCATCACTGACTCCCATCCTCGTTCACGGCCTCGCTTCCTACCTGACTCCCTCCCTCACCAACTTACTCCCACACTTACCCACTGTCGTGGCCGTCTCAGTCACCTTCCCACCTCGTGCTCAGCGCCCATTCAGAACGGCAGCCCCCAAATCGCGTCGGGCCATGGCGAGGTGCCGTCGGGCTGTGTGTGTGTGCAGCGTCCGCCAGGCTGAATAACGTGTTTCTCCACCTTCTCGTTCTCTCTGAGGCTCAGGGAGCGTCGTCCTCTCGTGTGTTTGTTAGGACAATGGTATGTTGTGGAAACCACCCTGTGTCTTTCTGTGTCTATAAATTCTTCATGGATATGACTCTTATTTTGCTTTTTCTCTTGTATATACATCTGTTTTCCTTTGTGGTGCCCTACATCTGAGATGGTTTTTATTGAACACGTAAAACCCATGACCACATCTCCCGCCTGTAGGGAAAAAGTCTCTCCATCTCTATGCCTCACAGACTCTGTCTCTCCACCTGGTTCCTTCTCACTCGTGTCATGCTTCTCGCTTATTAATGAGGTCACGCACTCGGCGTCACAGGGGTGGGGGTTCTTGTTATTCTGGGTGCCAGGATAACTTGGCTGACTGCACTTACAAAAAACCAATGGAAATGATCAGTTCTGAATTGCCTGCTTTGGCAGCAGTATCCGTGCTGCTGCATAGCGGCCTAATCGTGTTTACTGTCTGTATGCAGCATAGGGGTTGTTCCCTAACTCACAAAAAGATAAGACTTTTCCATGGGGGACAACCCCCCTCCCCCCAAAGATATGAATAATAATTAAATAAATTGGCAGAAAGTGTATAGTGCAATGCCGCTGGTGCGAGTGAAGCAGAAACGTGACTTTGAACACGGATGACGTGCGATGTCCATGTTTACAAGCATATTCCTGCCTCGTATGAACTGCCTGCGTTCATTTTATTTTTCTGTCTTTTTTTTCCCCATGGTGGTTTGCGAACCTCTCAGTTTGAGCTCTGACCCACTTAGTGTAAATAATTCATCGAATAAAAAAGTGCGCTTGCCTGTACTGCACTCCAAGAGCAGCTCTCTTAGGCTGCCATGTTAAATATTTCAGGCGGTGCGAAAATTTTCCATTTTTAGCCACCGCATTACATCATCGAGGCGGCTACCAGGGGTGAATCTCGGCTAAATTTGTTGACTAGTTAATAGAGTTAAATATCTTATCGGTTGACAGAGGCAGTTGTAGTATGTGCAGAATTATAAGCGTGGTTATGTTAGGGCGGGTGTTGGGTAGGTTGCTCTGTTGCTGGTTGAGGGCGTTGCATCATTCGTCTGACACGTCGTCTCCATGTGGCGTCCGAGATGTGGGACGTAGCTCTGCGAGGTCGTCTCAGAGCCGCGGTGCCCCCTCTTCCATCTCCACCCTCCGCCGCCTGTTGGAGTCGCATGGGGAATGTCGCTCCCTCATCACAGTCTCTGCATGACGCCTCGGAAGGATCGAGCTGATCTGATCGGATCCTTCTCTCTCTCTCTCTCTCTCTCTCTCTCTCTCCCTCGCTTTCAGTAGCATCTCCCCTTTCGTGGTTTGGGTTTGAGAGCCGGAAAAAAAAAACCCTGCATCCGAGTTATTTGGTTGAATCCATTGGATTTAATTTATTTCCATATTAATGCATCGTAAGGTGTTTATTTATTTAATTTTTTTTGTATCTGGTTTTATTATTATTTTGGTGGAACCGCGATGCGATTGTCTTACACTGTAAATGCCAAACTGCAACCTCTCTAAATCTTGCCCCCCCCCGCACAGGAGTTCCCGTTTTTCACCCTCACCTGCTTCCCTCCTGGCTTCCTGATCCACGTTGGGGGTGTGGTCAGCGCACGGTCAGTCAAGCTTCTGGATCGTATCCACAACCCCGGTAGGTGCCCCCCACGTACTGGCTGGCCTCCCCGCCTGGGACGCATGTACCTCGCACTCCCAGCTCACTTCCCACCCAGTCCCACAGGGACACACCCCGGCATCCTTTTCTCACTAGCGGGGGGGGGGGGGGGGCAGGGGATTCATATCTGGGTTTTCCACCTGCGGGGTTGCACTGCCCGAATCGGCCATCACATTTCTTATGCATGTTCTGAAAAAGTATTCAGTCGAAAGTAACGTGACAAAGAAATTAAAAGAGGAGACGAACTGAATTGGACACTGGGAGGAAATCGCCGAGTGAAGTCAAGTAAAGTTCATGGCAAATGCTCCGTGGTTTGCAGGGTGTGTGTGAGAACCTGCTGCTTCCCACCAGTAGTATCTGAGGGTCTATGCATCGGGCCACAGCTACAGAAGGCAGGACAGCCTGAGTGACATCACTCTGAAAGATCCTCTAGGATGTCAACACCAGTCATGTGTGAACCCGCTTCATTCACCATACTGCTCTGTGTAAGCAGGAGCCTCAGACCCCAATAATCCAGGCACAACATAGATTATTATTATTATTATTATTAGGGGTGTAACGGTACACAAAATTCATGGCTCAATACAAATGTCAGTTTTGGGTTTATGGTTCAATGCAATTTTGGTACAGGAAGGAAAGCACAATTTGAAATTGAAATAATTTATTATTAAAACCACAAACACAATTAGGAACAGTAGTAAACCTAAGAGATGCTTATTTGTACATTAAAAAAATAAAGATGTAAATGTAAAATGCTTTTTAAAAATCAAAAATATAACAGCATAACAACCATAATAAAATAAATCTCGTCTAAATCCTGTGTCCTTTACTTCGATTATGGTTGCCTGTCTGTTGTGATAAACCGCCCTATAGCTGTAATTATTTTTTTTAACCTTATTTAGATTTCCTGACAAAAGCACCTGAAATGCAGCAGGTAGACAAACTTACAGAGACAATGTCTGCTTTGCCACAAGCTGGGATGTCATCCCAAATGAGTTAGCATGTTTTCTTTGGTTTTCAGCAAAATTTCCCAGTTTGGTGTAACAGAGCCAATAGTCTTGGTCTCATTAACTACTCTCTTCAGTGTTGATGTAATTTAATGTTCCCAAACATTAGCCATAACCAACTCACGCAAGTCACAATTAGCATAATGTTTTCCGCATTCAACATCTACATGTGAATTTAGATTCTGCCCCTGTTAATACATGTATTCACTTTATTATGTGCAACTGAAAACGATGTACCAAACACATAACAAATATGTGTACCGTTACAGCCCTTGTTGTTGTTATTTGTTCATATTCATAGTTGTGTGTAACGTTTAGTGTTATGAGAAGCAAAGCTTTATTTGAAACTGAACCGCAAAGCCAAACCAGGCAAAGTAATTCTACCACAGGAGCAGTGTTGAATAGAGCTGAGGCCTTTTTTTAAATGTACACCTGTGAGCTGAATGTCCCCCTGCTTTCGCTGTAAAGCAGATTTACTGCTCAGAACACTTTAGATGTCAGCAGATGCATGGTTATGGAGAACCTATGATTACAGCCCAGTGAATCATATTTTTTATATATATATATATATTTTTTTAAATCATTTTGATAGATTTAATTGACATGAACGTTTTATTATTCTCTGCCCGGTATTGCATTTCATGAAATAATTTGAATTAAATCTAATTTACACCCTAATATAGTTTTCAAAAAATTCGGTCGTGCTCCTTAAATAATTGTGCTCATTTTTGTAAGTCACATTTCGAGCAGTCATTAGAAGCATGGCACACTTAAAATTTGCAATACCAGATGCAAAAGAATTAGAGTATGGTGTTTCCATTTTTCTGCCGTGGATGAGATTAAGTACAGGTTGGAATTAAATCATATATCAGAGGATGGAAATTTTTAGTAGGTCATGAGATTTAGCCCGAATCGGAAGATTTAATCTGTTCAACGCTACTGTAGTTTTATCTTAAAGTCTTTTAAGTTCAGCTCTGATCATGACTTCCCCGCTGCCCAATCTGTTTCTCTTAAAGCAGGAAGTCGAATCATGTTGACAGAATAGCATTCCTTGCCTCCTTACAGCTAGTATTGCTTTTAAGTAGGGCTGACAGTATTGCCGTGTAGCGATTTGTCAGTGATCTACCATAGGTACTGAACCAGGCCGTGTCAGAGAGGCGGAGCATCTGGGATCGGGCCTTCAAACCGAAGGAAGAGTCGGGCTCTAGTTGGTAGATCCGCAGTGAGAAAACGGGGACACTTCACGCCTCTGCCTGCATGTGGCGCTGTGTGTTAATGAGACCTCCATGTGATAGCTCAGTGCATGGTTCGGGTGAGGCAGAGGCATTCCTCAACCGCCCTGTCAGTCTGTAATACTGCGACAGTCGCTCCGCCGATTTGCTGTTTTTACCAGGCCTGCCGAGCTTAAGGCCGACTGATACTCTGCTACTGCATGCCTCTCACTCTTACTTTCCCTCTCTTTTTCTTCCCCCTTCCTCTCTTTTCTTCCAGCATCCCTCTATGCTTTGATCTGCTTCCCCTCTTCCTCCCTCTCCCCCCCCCATTGTTTTTACCCCCTCCCTCTGCCCTTCCCTTTTACAAGCCTCTGATTAACTCTGTTGTCTGTGTCTTTGCAGTTCCTGTGGAGTGTTTTGTTGTGTGCTCTTCTTGTTTGTAGCTGTACTGTCTGTATCTTCTTCTTCCTTTTTATTATTTTTTTGTTTTTCTCTTCTCTCTTTCGGCGACTTTAACTGATCTACTAATTTGCTGTTTTGAACTCAGCCTTGGGTAACACAAGATCATACAAACTGCTAGACTGGAATAGTTTCACTGCAGGTATTTCCCACTCTTTTGGTATTGCACATACCCACAGAAACTATGGCAGCTCAGTGAAGTTCCTGCATTTAGGAGCGGACAGACACAGGGACGGGGAGCTCCCTGTTTTGCATTCAAATTGGCGATGGGTATTTATTTGTTGTCGAAACCCACAAAGGGCTCTTGGGGGTTGAGGTACCTGCCTGTTGCTGCACTGCTGGCGCGTTTTCACCTTGCAGCCTGGAATGGAGGAGATCGCAGACCTTGATGGATCTGGTCACGTTGCAGGCACAAAAAGCTTAACAAACGGTTCTCCTTTTGTCAGGAGCTGAGCTGTTTGCAGCGAACCGTAAACATGCTCTAAAAATGCTTCGAAGCGAAAGCAAGAATAGTAGCTGGAACATGCCAAAATTGAAGATTCTGACATTATATGCCAGTCTTGTTTACTAGACTCAAAATACACTATGTGTCTTATTGTTTATTTTTGTCCACTCGGCTGTGGAGCAGTTTGCTGATTTTGGTTTATAGACCCACAGGGAAGACCCTAATTCCGCCCTGTCAAGCACAGATGTCATATTGAGCACTGCTCCAGAAAGCATTTGTCTGTCAAGCTCACTCCCTCAGGCAGCAGTTAGCCCACTGTTAGCATACCAAATTCCTAATGAAATGTATGCATTATCGCATACAATGTTCTTTAATGGCGTTTAATTGCCAGATTTGCATTTCCAACTATGTCCACTTCGAGCCAAGCGTGTGTGTGTGTAAATATATATATATTTATATAATATGGCAACCCCTAAAATTTCTGATTCATTTTTGTGACATTAAATGCCCATCACCAATTTCCGAAATTTTGACAGTTCGTATATACATTACTGCTGTTTTTTCTGCTGAGTCTATGGTAGAATAAAATAATCGAAAATGATACAGGAGCATACTACTTGAAATGATATCCATGCATTTAAAATACAGTTTAACAGATACATCGAGCAGAGCGTTGTTTTGGACTGGGTTGGTCCGTAATGGTAACGAGTTCGTTTTGATCGCTGCTGTGTGTGAAGTTGCACCAGGACTGGTGTGTCTGTAACTCCGAACATTTCCTACCTCTTCCTTGCCTATTCACGTTTTCCGTTTTGCGATACGTACCTGTGTCCTGGCATTTTTTTACTTTAAATTTAGCAGCTGCTGGTTTCTGCATTCTTTACATCCTTCCCAGGAGAGTTTATTCTTAGTTAGAGGGCTGTGCTCACTAAGGGGATATGTAACAATATGTCTTTCTAAGGGATTCTCCTTGTACTGTCAGTGTTTGGTATGAAGCACCTTCCATATAAATAATGAAGATATTTCACTAGGATGTTTTTATTGAAAATATGCCTCAGTTGCTTTAATTTATCCATTGGTTAGGTGTTTGTAATAATATAGAAAAGGATCATTGGGTAGTTTTTCCACTGATTCATACATTGAAAAATCTCTTTTTGCAAAGCAATCTTACACTGAATGATCCAACTGTTGACTCAATAGTTTATAAACATGGGAAACTGAAAATTCTCTTCTCTTCTCAGCTCATTATGTCAGATCATAGCTATAGGTTGCCTTTTGTAGCTCCTACCTGAGCGTGATTCGGGGAGCTCAGATTTAAGAGCTACATGACATGCTTTTCTGTTCTTGGCTTTTTCGCGCAGATTTAGAGCCATAACTTCTCTGACCATTTCAGTGAGCTGCCATACTTTTTCCCCCCCCTGCTCTGTTCTGTCATGTGACTCAAGCATGCGCCAAGGTGAAACCCAACCATTTCTGGCTACTCTCTGCTGAATCTGCTTCTGGCATTTCCTTTGCACTCGCAAGGCTGACGCTTCCTTAAAATAGCATCTTGAAGAAACCAGCCACGATAGGGGTGGGAATAATGGTGTCGAGATGGAGAACCTGGGGCATGTGTGTCCTTGCCCCCCAAGGGCCGTATTCATAGCACAATGGGTAGCTTGTTCTCGGACAAGTTTCCTCCTTGTAGATCCAAATTCCATCAGAAAAGGGTCTGTCCTTCCCTCAGCTTTTGCTAATGCTCTCTGAGTAGGCTCTCTAAGTTTACATTTTAAGGACCACAATTTGCGGTTGTCACTGCAATCTAATTTTACCACTGACTAAATAAATAGTGTCACTAGCAAGAGAAATTTTCAAATTTACAATCTCTATTGAGGATGTAAATATTGCATGGCCTTGCTATGCAATCAATAATAGGTTTATACCGATGAACTGATTTGAATTCAAACTAGTGATTTTCGTGTCACTAATTGTTGATGCCAAAGATCCTCTCCTGCCTGGAGAGGTGAGACGGTTAGTTTAGTGGACGTAATAATTAATGTCATGGACCTTGTTTTGGAATATCTGACGTTTTTTGAGGGATGTTCTCCAGATGCCACCCTAGGTAAGAGTCTGGCAGTGAGATGAATGAATATGGCCCTTAAACCCCCACCCACCCCGCACACCCCTCCCCCTTGCCGAGGTTTGCTGAGGTCTTCCTGAAACTGTCCTTGTACTTGGGTGGCTGTTCCGTATCAGGAGTCTGCTGTCATGGATCTATCTCGCCTCTTATCAGAGGTTCTGCGGAACTTCCCGTGAATTCCATCCACATGTCTCTTCTGTTTTGTCTCTGGCTGTTTTTTTTTTTTGGCTTACCATTGAAATGAATTCCATCCGTTGACTACTAATGCACTAGGAGATTCTACCTTGTTTTTTTACCTGAAAAAAACATTCACAAAGTGTAGAAAGTGAGTTTAATACAAGGCATATAGACTGAATGTTTTTCATTAAGTAGCGATGGCTGCAGTACTTAATGAAATTGGTGGATTCAGCTCTTGTTGACCCCCCTCCCCCCCCCCATATCCCTCTGAGTCACTAGCGATGAGGTGTCATCGACATGCGGATGTCCTGAAGCCAGGCAAAGTCCAGCTCGCGTCACTGGTGCACCATCATTGTATGTTTTGTCGATAGCTTAGGGTTGGACGAGTGACATGAAATTCACCATTTTAACTGATAAATGGCTTCATGAGATGCCCCCCACCCCCGACACATCCAGTCAGTGTCTTCCCCAGCATGTGAATACCATCCACCTCACGAGTGCCCCCCGGCGTCAACCTTGTGTCGTTTCAGACGAGCCAGAGACCCGAGACGCCTGGTGGGAGGAGATTCGGCAGGAGATCAAGTCTCACGCCAAAGCGCTGGGCTGCCACGCCGTGGTGGGCTACAGCGAATCCACCAGCATCTGGTGA